GAAAGACTGGAGAGAAGGCAACTAGTCATTACCATCCACCACCAACTCTTGGGCTACTCTTTTACCAACTAATAGTGGGATTGACTGTCACATTATAACGTACCCACGGCTGAAAGAGTGAGAATATTTTGTGAGACCGGGGATTCCAACCCACGACCCACAGATTGCGAGTCGAGCACCCTAATCACCTGGCCATGAAATAGTTTTTGAAGCAAAGACACATTTGGTTATCTGCTGTGTCCAGTGCGGGGAATTGAACCTCCAGACTTTAGCATTTTAAGTCCGTAATTTTATCGCTGTCCTACCGTGTGACGAAGTTCATAGCATTAATTCTGCTTATTTTAGAATTTTGCGCTAACTTAACCTGCTCCTAACGGTTCTTAATTTTGAAATGGTAGACGAGAGAGAAGACAGCTTATCAACGGCACCCACAGTTGATTCTTATATCACTCTTATATGATCAAATGGTTGGTCTTGACTGTCATTCTTATAATGCATCCAAGGTCTCAAAACGTTTTTTGTTTGTTTGTTTTTAATCATGAAATATTTCGTTCAAGTACGAGCACGCTAATTTGATCTATTTAACATTAAGTTGAATTATGGACATGCACATTTCGTTCTGAGAAAACGTTTACTAGTCATGGGTACAGCTTCCCTTTTATCTAGATTCTAGTATAAATTCAATTTATATGTGTTTATAAAGTATTAAAAACTTGATATATATTTTAACTGATTAGGGACTTTCGAAAATTCAGTACTACTTCTACAGTTTTCTAAAGGTTTTGTATTGCGATTTTATCCCTAATTTTGAAATCACTGTGTATTCAAGAAATGAATGATGTAAGAAAATGTAGTAGTAATATAATACATGCTAATTTTTATGCGTTAAACTTTTGAAATTTAGTGGAAATATTTAAATCAAGCTACCTAGCTCTACCTATTATCATAATATTTTACCCGTCTTTTAATTTTGAAGTTTTATTTGCCATTTTATTTGATATTCGTCTTATAAAAAATTTAATTTAAAATAAGCCAACATGTTATAAGTGTTAGTTTACAATAGTTTAAATAGATGGCACTACATTTTACTTATAAATTTTGCAAGGGCCGACTACTTTTCTATTTTTTTAAGACGTTTGAATGAACTTTGAATGCACAGATTTAAACATCTAAATAACAAAATCGTAAACTGTTTAACACATGTTTTAAATTATCTGTCATACAAAAAAGTTCAAATTTAGATTTTAATCTTGTTATATTCAAATTGTACTGTAACCAAAATATCAACAGTTAATTTGCCAAACTGTCGTATCCCGTTTTGTTTGTTGCTTATTAATGATATGTATGTTCTTGTTCTGCCTGTTTTCACATACTGACAAAGTCTGTTATTATTAATTAGGTATGAAAACATGCACACTCGCAACAACGCCAGGGAAGAAAAAACAACTGACAACAGTTAATAAAATGAAATTGGTTTCATTTTCGCGCAAAGCTACACGAGGGATATCTGCGCTAGCCGTTCGTAATTTAGCAGTGAAATACCAGAGGGAAGGCAGCTAGTCATCATCACCCATCGTCAACTCTTGGACTATTTTTTTACCAACGAACAGTGGGATTGACTGTTACATTATAAGGTGAATACGTTTGGCGGGGCGGGAATTAAAAACCGCGACTCGCAGATTGCAAGTCGAGCGCCCTTAACGACCAGGCGACGCCAGGCCTAAAATGAAATGCACACGTAATATGAATTTGTTGTTTTATTTAGGTTCTAAGATATTCACTATACTTTATAACCTACGTCCATATGTATTAAAATATATACTTATATTATTTCACTACAAATAGTTACATGATTCAAAATTTAGTGAAAAATAAGAAATACACTATAAATACTTAATCAGGATAACACGATCTTTGATCATCTAAATTGAACCTTTCGTTTTAAACTTCTAGCTGTGTTTTCCATCCTCTGTCAATATATATAATGAAGAAAGCGTTGAAATTTTTGACAAGAATATTAAGTATTTGGAGAATGCATCATCATGATAAAGTACAGATGTACTGTATTACTAACACTTTCTAAAAAAGAATTCTGTGCGATTTAAATTGTGCATGTTTGTCATTGTTTATAAATTTCCGATGTATCACCACGCTTAACTGGTTTTATTCAACTATACTGTTGAAAATTAAAATAAATATAACCCTTCATTTTTTTAAGCAACCTGATATGGAAAACTTGAACGACATATTGGTATATTAAAGAGAAAATAAAACGTCTATAATAACATATACAGAGTGGTGTACATGTCCTATGGTAAAGATACAAGAATGAGAGCCTAGGACACTCCCTTCCATTCTTAATGGTCCTATGTGTTGGCCCTGGTTAGAGAATATTGCTCTGTAATTTCCACGAGTGGTGGCTTTTGCACAATAGTCTGAAGTCAGTATTGTAACTCTCATCTCTAAATCCATCACCCGTACACTGATGACGACTTCCGCGGGCCCATTTAACAAACCTAAAGATATATAACTTCATGGAAGTTTTCTACGAATGGTGTAGCACAATTTCTGATTTGCATCTGCATCTTGCGAAGAAAATGGCATTGGACTTCGACATTTGGCTGGACGCTTTGTCTTAATATAGCATACACCTTACTGGTACTCAGTATTTACAAATATGATATTTCTTCGCGGTGCAATGGTGTCAACGGATTAGCTTGATAAAATGCTCCATTGTTCTGTGTCATTCACTTCGAGTCATACCTTTAATCTTCCTTTAGGAAATATAGTTACAGGGCCAGTCATTGTATGTTAAGTTACACAAACATATACATTTTTACTACTGGCGGTCAGATGACCTCTGGAGGTAACAACCTATCTTCTAATTCGATGACGAGGAACCCACTTTGAGACTAATAATGCTTGGAGACGGCTTGAATGGGTAATGAAGAAAAACTTTAATATAATTTTAACTTTGTACATTTGCTGTTATGTTAAACTTATATTAAAGTTTTTCTTCATTACCCATTCAAGTCGTCTCCAAGCATTATTAACCTATCTTCTAGTTCGTTTGGTAGTCATGTGTGTAGCAATAGTTTCTCTGGAACAAATCTCAGGTTATTCAGTCTAGGACAAAATTTAAAGAGATTTAGTCGGAGATACGATCTTGAGAGATACAGTTCAGAACTTAAGATAATCGAGTTAGTAGTAATTCTCAAATAAAGGCAACTGTCCTTTTTGACCAGCTTAGTATACATTTTAACTGTGTTTGTCTTAAATGAAGATTGTTTATTGTAATTATATATTTGTGTACAATCGTTCCATATCTATCACGACTTCTAGAGTCAGAAAGCATAGAATTACTTTGCAGTAAATAACTTTTCGAATCTCCCGTTATTAAATGGATCTGTCTCGTCGCTCTTAGTGGTATCAGTTGTACCTGAAAGTACCACAGTAAGCTAGTTTAACGTTCTTCAGTACCTCTTCTGCGCGATAGTTAGTAAGTCGATTAGCTTATTTTTTGTCCTGCTAAACTAACTTTTCTTGCTTTACCGATATGGTTGAATATTGCTGATACAGATTTATTCAAAAGGCTAAATGTTGTTATCTTGTATGTTTTTACAGTCGCAGAATAGTAGAATCTCGCAAAAGAAAGTTCTATCATGTAATCTCCGAGAATGGGGTCAATTTTATGCGCTCGCTGCGCTTGCAAATCACCCTGCGTGGACACAATCAGTTTAAATTATAATATCTTGATAATCAACTAGGTTTTACGGATTGGAAGCATTGTAAGTTTTTCTGTAGCGTTCTTGTCTAAAGGAAGTTATTGGAAGCATTTGCAATTACGTCCTTTATAGCAACAAAGAGTACTGCTAAAGGGTTGCGTACGCTATACTAAAACAATTTTGAATACGCAACTCGGCAAGGCACGTGACAAATACGTAAAGTCGCGGTTGAACGGCATGTATTAGAATTACATTTTGACCCTGTTCGGCGTTAGTACGTAGTGTGATGCCACCGAAAATTTATCGCTATTGGGAAGGTTATGGAACAGCCTTTTCCAACGTAATATATTCATACACTCAGATCGTAATGATGTGTTCATATCGAGGATTTATAATTTCGAAGATGGAATTATCTTTTGTACTTAATGACATTGGAAAACAAAGGAATGTAGATCAACTTTGAGTACCAAGACCATCCAGAAAGCGACTTGTAACAAGTCATACTACAGCCTTGGTAAGTAAAGTGGAGTATCTTGTAACTGTTTGGAATCCATGTGCATAAAGATCAGTGGCAAACGCCATCTACGTGTCACAAGCAATGGTAAACAACAAATTAAAAGTTATGTGAATATCTCGAGAGCAGTTTTCGGTGGCATTACACTACTTATGAAATGCCAAGCAATGTCAAAATGTAGTTCTGATATATGCCGTTCCACTGCAACTTTATATTGGCTGTGGTTGTTTGCATATTGAAACTCGTTCTAACATAACGTATTCATCTCTCTATTTTTACGTATTTATAATTGAACATAGAACGAAATGAATAAAATCGCTGTAAAGAAGAGAGATACGTGTTATCAACATAAAACAGATCGAAGGCACTTGTTCCCCATAAAAAAGCTAATCATAGCTAGAAAACAATTTTGAAAACTTCTGTTGTAAGAACAAAAGACTAATTAATTAGGTGGAATAAAGCTTCAGTAAGGTTGTGTTGTCGTCACAAAAACTCACACTCTTAGCATTGCAACATGAAATTTTAAAGAAAGAACGTAAGAATAGGGGCGACTATGGCGTTGCTATAAATGTATAATTTAATTTTCTATCTAAGATCTTCAATAATATTTACAATCTTACAAGTGAATGCTTTGATAGGAACTCGAAAATTATCTCATGCTGCTTGTTGACTATTGTCAATCAGCATTCGTACATTCTACGGCTAATAACGTAGTTATTAGACCTCGACATGCTCTTCGAACCGTGCTCATCACGTTTCATAGTGAAATTATATCTTCATCACGTGAGATCATATGTCAAACGTGCTAAGATTACGTTTAAAAACTTAAAATACTTTGAGAGATTTATGAAGGTTATGGAAGCCATGAAGAATAGAGCCTCTCTTACACGTCGTAAGTTTTGAATATCAAAGACTCAACGTAAAGCACATAACGAGGTGTAACAACTGGAATATCAGAAGTTCAAATGTGCACGACGAGGTGTAACAATTGCACCAGTAAAGTTCGAATGTGCACATAAAAACTGACCGGTTCAAATTAATTGGCAGTCGACAAAACAATCAAATGAATACGTTTTGAGTGCGACGACAAATATGCGGACACCAAATTTTTTTCATTCCACTAATGAAGAAAAATCGTTATATAATTTTTTAACTAGGTCGGTTACAAAATAGTCAATTTTATTGGATATATAGTTATTGACGACTTAACATTTCAACTCTCATTTCCAGCCAGAAACGTACATTTTCTATTTTTTGAACCAGTGGCCCAGCGGAATGTCTGCGGACTTAAAACGCTAGAATCCGGGTTTCGCCACCCGTGGTGGGTAGAGCACAGACAGCCCATTATGTTGCTCGGTGCTAATCTTCAAACAAACCATCCTTTGTTAATGAATATCACACTAAACAGTGTGTGGAACCTTATTTTTCTATTGTTTCTAGTAGGAAAAATATAATAAACACGCTGAGGAAATTGTGTTTTAAAACAACACCGGTTTTTTGAAGATATTTCAATATGTGTCATATAATTTTTGTTCTATATGTTTAGGGCTTCACATGAAATTCAAAAAGACTCTAGTACGGTTTCTGGTGAGGTTACATAAATACCTAACTATTTCTAAGTGCAGTACTGTTCAAAGTTCAGGGTTAAGAAGTCAGCATATTCGAATCTTCTAAAGAAATATTTCGTCTATGACTTTGCGTAAATATTTCTTTCGTTAAAAAATATGAAAACTTATAATTCTTTATTATTTTCATTGCGATTATTTATTTATTTACTTCCATGCTCAATATCAGATATACCAAACTTAAGAAATGATGTTCAGAAATGTCATAGACATTTAGATAACGTTAACTATCTGTTAAATTTGGCTCAGCGGTAGATCTGCAGGCTTATGACGCTAAAATTCGGGTTTTGATATCCGTGGTGGGCACAACAAAGATAGCCCGTTTTGTAGCTTCGTGCTTAACAACAACCAAACTTATTAAATTTAGCAGTGTTGTATCTGTTTTTTTATTACTTAAATATGTGAAACTCTACTACAATTTACTTTAAGCATTTTATTAATTTTCTGTTAACTTTATGCAGCTTAGTCCCTCTGTGAGATCCCCGCTGGGACAGCGGTAAGTCTACGGATTTACAATGCTAAAATCAGGGGTTCGACTCCCATCGGTGGACACGGCAGATAGCCCGATGTGGCTTTGCTGTAAGAAAACACACACACACCTTGTGGCTCAGCGGTAAGTTGATGGACTTATAACGCTAAAGTCAGGGTTGGATTGACAGGGCACAAATAACTCATTGTGTAGCTTTGCGCTAAAACAACAAAAACAATTGAGCAGAATATTATTATTCATTTTGACAAATTTTCAGCCATAATAAAACCTTGTGTATCCTGTAAATCTACTTCCTTCATTTTTTAATACACAGTTTTTATTTACGTATATTACTAAGTTTGCATCTTACTGGTAAAAGAAAGAAACAACACCACAGTTTACATTGTGTTACAAACTACTGGTGTTTAATTCATTTATCTTCCTGAACGCACCAAATCATCTTTGATGAGCCAAGACATATCCTGTTTTCAAAATGCTGATTATGTTACCAGACCTGTTTGTTAATTGCCCTACACATAAAAGCCAATGCACTCCGCAAAGGGAGTGGTACGAAGTGCTCAATTAGAATTTATAATGTAAAAAACAAAAACGCATTTCCCGGTTGACCAAGAAGGTAAGATGACCCACTTTTTATAAATATTAGACTCACGCCTATATTTTTGTATTGTACTTGTTGGAGTTGTAAACATTTCTATTGAAAATACTAACTTGCTCACGGAAAAAACATAAACGAAAAAGAAATCTGAAAGTCGAGCGCTAAAATCTTGATGAGAAAATTCACTTATTTCTAACCAAAACTAGAATTAAATGAAATACATAATTTTGATATGAAACGCTTTGTATGTTTGTATATATATATATGCATTATATTGAACTATTGCTCTGTACTTCTTCACAATATTAAGAATTAAATTACTACATACTAATGTCATACTGTAATGCCCCCCAGTGGCTTAGCTGTAAAGTCTGCAGGGTTACGATGCTAAAAGTCGGGTTTCGGTACCCGTGGTGAGCAGACCACATATAGTTCATTATGTAGCTTTTTGTTAAACAAAGAACAAACACAGTGTGGTTTCTTCCACGTGCCGTGTTTGGTCATTTATACAACAGATGAAGTCTTCCCATCCATCTTCCTTCTTTTCCTGACCAAACACAGCAACAACAATAAAAGAAAATGGGGAGATGGGGCGGGGAGATAACTGAAAGCTGTAAAAAAATTATCATTTGAAAGTTAAATTTTGTCATCATGTTTTCCTTAGAGTATTCCAAACAGATCTAATACAATTAAACCCTTGGGGGTTTTCCAAGAAGAAGAATGTATAACAATATAATGGTTGGAGACGGCTTGAATTGGTAACGAAGAAAAACTTTAATATAAGTTTAACATAACAGCAAATGTACAACGTTTCGACAAGGTTTTGTCATCAACAATATTTTCACCACACCATATCCATTGCCGACGATGTGTTTCGCTTAATACCAGAGCTCAACTACTTGACTGGGATACAACAAACACTATTATAAGTTCTTTTTCTTGGAAAACCCAAGGGACCGAATAAAGAATCTTCTATATAAAAACACAATAAGCCTAATAATAATGTCCTATGACAAATATAACTATTTAAAGCCGCTGTTGAGTAGACCTACAAAGTTTTAATCACACTTTTTAAGAACGATTTTACAGGCCCCGTGATACTCAGTCTGATGGCCAAAATTATAACTACTGGCCTAAACTGCAATGACTAGAGTAACAAGTCTCAGGGAAGAACGATGTGTCACTCTTCCACCACACCTCTTTTCGCATGCCCTCCATGTGGATAAGGGAGTATTATGAACAGTAAGTACACCCCAGCCATAAGGATCCTATGACAGCATTACGCTGTCGAATTATCTGGAATTTGCTATATCTAGGTATACATGTATTAAAAATTTTACGTATGACGTCACGAGTTGGATCTCCTACGACACTTCACATCAGCATATGCTAATCGCTCTTGTAAAAGTGGTTAATTATCGCATATACATATACATTTTGCGTTTTTCTTGATAGTCGGATGTTTAAAATTGTTTTTATTTCAAAACTTTCGAAACATGACATTAATTTTAGAAATATACATGCATATTCCATATTTTTTTAGGTTTGTTTAGGTATATTAATATTGTTTTCTTTGGAAATATACTCCTTCAAAGGTACAAAATTTAATGATTAATCATTGAATTTCGTAATTTTACATGGATTGATTAATAGTGGATAATATAAAATAATGATATGGAAAATTTTAACATTTTTCGTGTTTTGTTCTTTTAAATTTGTTTCAGCTCCGTCTGTAGAAAAGTTTTAACAGACCCAAAATAAATTGATTAATTAACTTAATATCTATTGCCCAATGCAAGAAGTTATTTGGTTAAATGATGTATGTATGCTTCACGAATCAATACTCTACAAAAACATAATTTTTTTAGGTTACTCTCAATGTAATGGTTAAATATTGCGGGAAATAAAACTGGTAAATATGTCAAGATGTCGTCATGCAACTTTTTCTTAATACTGATATAAACCACTAGAGGCCCAGAGAGCCATTTTGGTTGTATAAATCAATAATTTAGAATAATTCAGATTTAGATTTGCCAAAAAACCGAACTATTTATTCAATTAACACACACTTAACAATACATATAAAACAGAGATAAATCAGTCTGATTCCGCTGGAAATTTGATCTCCTATGCATACAATTAAAATTACATTTGTTGTGGCAATACACGCGAATATCCTAATCGGGCTTCAGAGAAAGTAAAATAAATAATCCTTCCAACTAATCCAGTGATGAGGATACCTTATTCCTAAGCTAAACGATACAATGATGTCCCTGATGTACAACTTATTGAAATGTAGTAAGAAGTTATTATCTTAGAAGGAAAATCGTCATGTATATCACAAAAAACATATCCCAGCACACTTCCATAGTGTTTTGAACATAGTATAATCTGTTATACATTAGTAAGAAAAATAATAATGATTCTTTGAGCTTCAAGGAAATTTTATAACTTTTACATTGCTTTCATGTAGATACTTCTTTACGACACTGTGTAAGGAAAATAATCTTCTGACATTCCATGTGCATTATCTCCTCCGTAAACGAAAGAAAAACTCCCATCTTAATCAGAATTATAAAAGAAGAGGCCGAAATAAGGAATGCATTCTCAAATGTGCCGAAATATCCTCCTCAAAAGAGATTTGTTGTTATAAATATGAGCCATTTGATACCTAACAAACAGAGTGAAATAATGCAGTTAAACAGTCCAAAAACATTTAGTCAGTTGGGAGTTTCAACATAAATCTAATTTGGATTTACCTTAAAAACCGATTAATTGTGAATTGTGTTTACAGCAGTAAAACATGCAGGCACAAATTTATCATGGCCTTACAGTTATAGAAAATCTTTTCTTTTTTTGCATAGTTACGCTTTAACATATTATAAAGTTAACAACCATAAAATAAACTGAGAATAGGTAGTTAACAAAATCACCGTTATAATTAAGAAATGCCCCCTGGGATTCGTATGGTAAATAAATAATTAACTCTGAATTAACCATCTAAGCGAGATGTTATTAATAAACGAAGCTACACTTCAGAAATGGAGATTTGTTCTTCTAAAAAAATGCTATGATGAAATGTGGATAGAAATATATGAAAGATTAGACAGTAGGAACTGGAGTTCAATTAGTTATATTCGTCAACATACTGGACACCAGCATTGCCATAATTCTGCGACGCCGACCGAGACCGTGAAGGACCTCCGTAAATATTGGGATTGTACCCAATAGGTCTTTTGTTTAAGTCATTACCTCCCTGGGAAGGTTTCGGACCCTGTGGAATACTGGATAACTGAGAATGTTGCGGTGATTCGGGAAAGCGGTGGTACTCAGAAGAAGGCTTATGTGGGACAGGAACCTGAGGTTTGACTTCTGAAGACCTATAGGGTATATAAGCAACTGGCCGAGTTTTAAGTGCATCATAGGAAATAGATCTAGAAGGAGTGGTATCGTCATAGGAGTTTGGTCTAGGGTCAGGTCTTGCTACGGAAGCACCACCGTAGAAATTAGGTCTAGGGGCAGGCCTTGGTACAGATGCACTACCATATGAGCTAGGTCTACGAGCAGGTCTTGATTCTGGGGCACTGCCATAAAAGCTAGGTCTAGGGGCAGGTCTTGGTGCTGGGGCATTGTCGTATGGGCTTGGCCTAGGGGCAGGTCTTGGTGCTGGGGCATTGTCGTATGGGCTAGGGCTAGGGGCAGGTCTTGGTGCTGGGGCATTGTCGTATGGGCTAGGCCTAGGGGCAGGTCTTGGTGCTGGGACATTGTTGTATGGGCTAGGTCCAGAGGCAGGTCTGAGAGCAGGTGCACCACCAGAGAAAGTGGGCTGAGGAGCTGGCCTAGCGGCAGAAGCCCCACCAGCATAGTCACTAGAAGGAGCTGCTGGAAATCCAAACTGATTAGGGGCAGGAGGCCCCAGCAGAAATTCTTCAGGGTAGTACCGCTGGTAGTAGCGAGCCGTTTGGTTGGGTCCTTTATGGTCGAGTGTCTGAAACACAAATCATAAGTAAATGTAAAAACATGTGCTACTTATAAGCATAACAAACCATATTGATCAGAATAAAAGAGAAAACAAATAAAAATATTTATTAAATCCACAAGATTTTGAACAGAAAGAAACCTTCACTACCTTTACCATTATAAATTAAAATTGAAGCAAAATATGTTAAATCACAATTATACGTAATAGATGGTTAATGTGAACGTAATTTATGACTGATTATGCTCTCGTCACACCCACATTATTACTTACTTTGTACAAATAGTCATTAACCACGTAGAACTTCTCAGATCTATCACATATGTCTTGAGCAGACGGTACGCAGTTCAAATGAACCTGGTGAAATACTGTACCCCCAGGACACATCCAAGAGTGACTAACGCCTCCTGTACAATAGTGGAAGGCGCGACAGTTCACGCTGTCATCAGCATAATAGCCATCATTCTTTCCGGAGCAGCTAAACTTAGAATCTGCCAGAAGCAGGGATAGAGGGTCAGGAGTAGTAGGTCCTCGTTCCTCTTCACCAGCATAATCGCCATCTTCTTCTAGAGACTGCTGAGGTACACTGCCATACTGGAAAATGAGTATGTAAAGTAAAGTTAACAAGTGTAATGTTATCTGAAAAACTTTTAGTTTCAAGATGGTAATAATAACAACAACAACTTTTCGGTGTGGTGTAAAATGCTTAAAAATGGTAAATCAAGGAGACTTATTAGGCGTACGAAAACATTTGCTGTCAAAGGAAACTTTTAAAACAACAACTAATCTTTACAATAATCATAACCGAACATTCGTGTTAAAAATATCTATGATCTCAAGTTATCATCCATCTTATAAGATTTGAATTAGTAGCGGTCTCGAGTTCCTCTACGAAAAGCTTAGATGGTTATTAGGTACAGTCAATCTTTGAAGAGTATGACACTGAGAAGAAAGACTAAATGTCAGATCAAGGTAGCTCTAGAATACGATGAATGTGAACATTTTGATGTCAGCTATTTTATTGTTTTTATTCCTGCCATAACTTTCCTTTTATGATGAAAAAACTATGGTTAACGTGGCCTACTTTTAAAGAGATGACAATGAGCCTTTTTACTTGTTGCGAATTTTTCCTATTAGGTAACTATTTAACTTATTTTTTTCTCGTTCTTGTTTTTTTTTTCTTAGTACAAAACTACACAATAAGCTATCTGCGTTCTGTTTACTACGGGAAATCTAACCCCGGATTTTAGCGTTATGATTCCGTAAACTTACCACTGACCCGCTGAGGAACTCTCATCATTTAAACTACTGCATTTATATGTGTTTCTTTAGGTAGCAAAGTTAAGTAATGTCCAAGAAATCCTTATGCATGCAAACCTAACACACTTTCTTAATTTTAGATGTGTTAAGAGAAGACTGAAAATGACTCTAAAGAAAAAGTAACAGAAATCTATCTACACCTTTGGACCACTTGCTGCTTGTCTTCTTGGGCTACCACGAGGTGGAGAATAAGCCTGGACGGGCTGACCTTGAAACTGACGTTGTGGAACCGTGTAGCGTCCACTATCTACCTGTCTGCCCTCACTTCTTGGACCTGGGAACTGATAAGCTGCTTGACGCTTTTCCTAGTTAAAAAAAAAAGAGACTTACACTTTTATGGCACACTCTCCCTCGTGCTTGCTGGTAACTAATAGTGACTCGTGTGTGCAACATTCCAAAGCCAATAATTTAATAAGTGCATATAATATTCAATACGCATCGAAAAGATTACGGTAAAAGATAAAAAAATACAATTTATCACAGGTTTGCTATCAACATTAAAAGCATGGAAATATTCCAGTTTGCATTCCTTTGCTGAATTTTTTATCACCGAATATTTAGTTCTAGTTTTCTTTTTTCTCGCTACATTTATTCACGTAAACATTTTTTTAGTTTCGCTAGCTTTATTCACCGAAACGCGATACAATCTTAGAAGAATCCTATTTTCACACAGACAATACCGGAACGCTTTTCGATACAAAACGATAAGTAAGTGCAACTGTCATATTTTATTTAAAAATTGAATGACAGATTCATGGGGAAAGCAGTGACTAATAAGCAGCATATAATGGTTAATTCATGGGAAGAGAAGTGATTACTAATCAACATATAATGGTTAATTCATAGGGAGAGAAGTGATTACTAATCAGCATATAATGGTTACTTCATGGGAAGAGAAGTGATTAATAAGCAGCATATAATGGTTAATTCATGGGAAGAGAAGTGATTACTAATCAGCATATAATGGTTAATTCATAGGGAGAGAAGTGACTAACGAAGCATATAATGGTTACTTCATGGGAAGAGAAGTGATTACTAATCAGCATATAATGATTACTTCATGGGAAGAGAAGTAATTACTAATCAGCATATAATGTTTACTTCAAGGTAAGAGAAGTGACTAACGAGCAGCATATAATGGTTACTTCATGGGAAGAGAAGTGACTAACGAGCAGCATATAATGTTTACTTCAAAGTAAGAGAAGTGACTAACGATCAGCATATAATGGTTACTTATGGGAAGAGAAGTGACTAAGGAGCAACATATAATGTTTACTTCAAGGTAAGAGAAGTGACTAACGAGCAGCATATAATGGTTACTTTATGGGAAGAGAAGTGACTAATAAGCAGAATATAATGGTTACTTACTCTTTCTCCGGCTGTCACGTAAGCTCCTGCAATACGCGAGAAAGAGAGAGAGAAAAAAATAAATAAATGAAATAAATCAGTCTCTAAATATATTTATAATAGCTTAATGATTACTAGTTCTATCTTAAACTCGGTTGTTGTATTGTTGAAACATGCTAACAGAAATAAATAATGAAACCTGTACAGCAAAAACAAACACAATGAATAATTTCCCATTTTTTATCGTTTTGAATCAAAAATTTTTGTCATAAGTTGTAAGAACATTATATCCTTCTCTTAAAATTATATTTTTTTAATTATTTGAAATGATTACAACTGCAGTGGAGTAAAGTAAAGTAAAGAAATACTGATTTAGATTTTTAATTATTAATGTGTCTGATACCACAGATTCACTATCTGTGAAAAAATTTAAAAATACAGTAATTATCATGACAGAAAATAATTTTAAAGTAAAATACTTACCGAATAGGAGAAGAGCACAACACAGAAGTCTCATCACTGAATATTGTATCTGAAAGTAAAAGGTTTCGGTTTCGGTAATCACGTGAAATATGTACATGGTGTTCGGCAAGTTTTTAAATATAAATAATAGAGTTTATTTAAAAATGAACAAAAATGTTAGTGAAGCTACTCTGTACTGCAAACATCTTTCAAATTCTACTCTAAATTTAACCTCCAATTTAAACTTCCTGTTAGAACTTTCAAATTAAAAACCCTGTTAGTGAATGTTGTTTGTCTTTAAATACAATTATAAGATAATCTTTAGTTTGTAAAAATATGCAGAGACTTCGATCTCAAACGATTTTTAAATTTGTGTAAGTTTTCATAAGGTTATTATTTAAAAACCTGCGATATATTGTTATAAGCGGGATCATACCTCCGGTATTTGTACCAAAAAATGAACTTGCACTCAGCATTTTTCTCAATTGAAATAGCTATATATAAAGATGAAGATCCATGAGTTAACACGTATAGCCAATCTGAACCCAACGAAAAAATAACTAAATAAACTGACAAATATGGATGGTTGCATAATCACAAAACAGAATTAATTAATTAAGAAACCTTGATAAAACTTAACTAGAGCTATATAGATTATTTCCAACACAACATGAGTAAGTAATTAAACGATAGTCGGTCACAGCTAGAGCTATTGAAAGTTTCTTTTATTAGCTGACAAGTCTCTTATTATCACGATTTGCAAGAGACTTAATTCAACTAATCCAATATATTTCAAATAAAAGTGTTGTATAAGATCCTGTTCTATAGGGAAGCGAGACATTTTTTAAACACCGGTACTTTTTCACTGAAAAATAAACAAACTACAGAGTACATTAAAACTATCGTTGTAGCACTCCAAGAAACCAGTTTATTTTGGTTGTAAAAATTATTTTATAAAAAAACCAATACAGGAAAATCTCGAGTAGAGCTACTATTGGAAAGCACGTCGTCATATGTGCAGTATTGTAAGGCTAATTACACGAAACATGGCTTGTATTAAACGAAGTTAAACCTACCGTCACTAGCGGTGATTATCCTCAGTACTTGGTCGATTCCTTTAGGAAAATATACTCGTAGTTAACGAACTCGTCTTTTTATATGGCAGTGTGACGGCATGTGAAACTTGTATTGACCTATTTTAGATTACGAACCGAAGAAAGCTGCACAGCCAATGTAATACACGGATGTGCCGTATAGTTGCCCAACTGCCAAAGTAGTGGAAGGGGTTTGGTAATGCACCTGAAAAACCTGGCCTGCCATCAGAGGAATCGGCCAACGCCTGTAACTAACTCAGGGCCAGCTAAACAAAAATCACTGAAAGCTTAACGATGACCTATTTTTGTAGGTTTACTCCCATCCATATATTTTAATCCTTTACACCTTTGATGCTAGTTCAAAAGATCAAATTAAACGTTTCCAAAATCAAGTGTTTTCAGAAATGATTTATACTGTTAGAATTATAAAATTCTAAGATGTCAAAACTCCCATACTTATGTATGACTAATATAATCACGCTTCAAGCTGCACCTGATGATGGCCTTGGAAGGAAAATTTGGTTTGTTTGTTTGAAGTTAAGTATAAAGCTACACAATGGGCTATCTGTGCTCTGCCCACCACGGGTATCGAAACCCGGTTTCATGTGTTGTAATTCCGCAGACATATGGAAGGAAAGAACTAACTGTTAAATTCTTATAATGGATTCAAGACGCTTCAGTATACAGTTTATACAACTTTATTTTGAACTTTTAAGCATATTCTAAAAGCATTTAACATATTCTACTTATTTTCATTTTCAACGTAATGTGAAATTATATCAATACAACTTATCTCTGATAAAAAGACGTCGCGGGAATGCGACTGCCCAGGTGTTGTAATTTCACACATGTCTTGTTCGATGCTATTAAGACGTCAGGTGAACTTACACAACATTTCGTAAAACGTTTGTTTGTAGTTAAATACAAGGCTACACAATGGGCTATCTGTGCAGTGCCCACCTGGGGTATCAAAACCCGGTTTTTAGCGTTATAAGCCTTCACACTTTTCGCTGAGAAATTAAAAGAGCTTTAAAAAAAGAAGAAAATACAGGTGGGAATGGAAGTGTCTCTCATGTTCCAGATTTCAGTCGTATGAAAAAAAAAGTACAATGTATTTGACTCAATATTAGTGTGAAACATGAGTATTTGTTTAAATTTTGAGATAAAATAATAACTTGTATATCACTTTACTTCAAAAATTTAAGATTTTTATAGAGTCAATTTATAAGATATTTTTGTTAAGGTATTTATGGAGTCAATTTATAAGATATTTTTGTTAAGGTATTTATGGAGTCAATTTATAAGATATTTTTGTTAAGGTATTTATGGAGTCAATTTCTAAGTTATTTTTGTTAAGCTATTTATGGAGTCAATTTATAAGTTATTTTTTATTATTACTGATAGAACAGTATAGGGTACGTAGGAACATAAGCCAGCTATGGTATTCCCAAGTATTACTACCCTAAACATTTTTGCAATAGTTCATAGAAGGTGAATTCGTGAAAGTTTAACAAGCTTTCAGTACGGGGTTATTCAAAATTGTTTTTTTTTTATGACAATCATCAGATTGTAAGATGCAAAGATGCTTTCTTCGAAACTAATTGTTGCAATTAAATTTAGCAGTTTATGATGCGTATCAGTTGTGGCAACACAACTCATAATTTCTTATGTGGATTTTTATGATACAGATATCTAATAATTATTGACCTATGTGCGACCAGTTATTTATTCAAGATGTAGAGGTGATATGTACAATTGGGTTAATCTTCAAACCTTTTGTGTTTTGATTCTGAGTCAGCAACCAGTTGGTTTAATATTGTATTATTCTTTGAATGAAAGTTGCTAAAGTTTAGTATCTTTAACTGAAAGGAGTGACCATACTTGTTAGGGAGGTGCGAAAACCAATCCGGTTGTTTAAATGTATTGACTGGGGAACAATAATACCATTAAAACACGCTACACGTGAGATATTTCACGAAGTCTTTAAACATCGCAAACTTGTTCTCTCGTGAATTGCTCGCGTGTAAAAAGAAAAAAAAAAAAAAAGGTAAACTTTTGGGTTAAAACATTAAAGTAGCAGTTATTAACATACTTTGACACTATCTTATTGTGTTTTGATTTTGAAGTGCTTGAAAGATGCGATGAAAAGGAATACAGACAAAAATGAAATTGTGAATTTTAGTAATATCAGTTGAGCTAGGATTCCACTCTATGGTGTATTCTTTTTTATTTATAGCACTAAACATAGAAAATGTTGATTGAAATGTAACCGTTTCAAACAACATGCATAGACAGATAGGAGCACTAACTAGGCTTGTGAGAAGAAGCATGCCTGCATGATAAAACCTGATCTAGTGTTACACTAGTGTGAGCTCTATGAAACGGATGAAGCCTAAATGTTCCTGACTGGGAAATAAGTGCATTCAGAGTAATACAGGTTATCTGGTAATTGCATTTCTTTATTTTATGTCAGTAGTTCACGAGCTGATATTTTTACCACTTCTTATAACGATGTCTGTTCTCTGAGTGGACTTCTACACCAACCTAATCTTTGTAAAGAGAGAACGTGCCCGGTTTGTGCAGTTAGATTTCTTTGTTTTTGAATTTCACACAAAGCTACACTAGGGCTATCTGCGCTAGCCGTCCCTAATTTAGCAGTGAAAGACTGGAGGGAAGGCAGCTAGTCATCACCACCCACCGCCAACTCTTGGGCTACTCTTTTACCAACGAATAGTGGGATTGATCGTCACTTTATAACGCCCTCACGGCTGAAAGGGCGCTCATGTTTGGTGGGATGAGGATTCGAACCTGCGACTCGAGCTCCCTATCCACCTGGCCATGCTGGGCCTGTACAGTTAGAACGAAGCAAATTGTATATTGTAATTCACTTTACGTGTTTGGTTAGAATGATTTTAATATTCAAAGAGAGTTGATGCTACACAGTTATGCTATTATGTAGCATAAACTAATAACTGCAATCTGTATACTTGCTTATAGTGGCACTTACGCGAAAATATAGGTTTACATGAGTTTTATGGAAAATATGTGGTTGGGTGCGTATCTAAATGGTTTTTTATTGTTCATGGAAGTATTTAGAATAATTAAAGCCATATCAGTATCATTTACCGCCAACTCCTGGGCTACCCTTTTAACAACTAATAGTGGGATTGACCGTAATATTATAACGCCACCACGGCTGAAAGGGCGAACATATTAGGTGTGACGGGGTTTCGAACTCGTGCCTCTGAAAGTGCAAGTCCAGCACCCTAATCACCTGGCCATGTTCAATTATACTTAGTATTATAGCTTTAATCACCTGGCCATGTTCAATTATACTTAGTATTATAGCTTTAATCACCTGGCCATGTTCAATTATACTTAGTACTATAGCTTTAATCACCTGGCCATGTTCAATTATACTTAGTACTGTAGCTTTAATCACCTGGCCATGTTCAATTATACTTAGTACTATAGCTTTAATCACCTGACCATGTTCAATTATACTTAGTACTATAGCTTTAATCACCTGACCATGTTCAATTATACTTAGTACTATAGCTTTAATAATAACAATAAATACGTTTGCTTTTCAACCAGAGCCAAAGCAATTAACACACACACAAAAGGAAAAATGGCTCCCTCCCTAACTTACTTGTCTAGATGGTTTGTTTGTAGTTAAGCACAAAACTACACAAAGGGCTATCTGTGCTTTGCCCACTACGGGTATCAAAACCCGGTTTCTAGAGGTGTAAGTCCGCAGACATAACGCTGTCGCCATGCCACTGGGGAGCTGTCTAGATGGACGCGTGAAAGATTCATGTTAGCATTAAATGTCATCCCCAGTTTTCTTCAATCTTCCTTTTGCAAAATGTATACACAACATAATTTTGATAATATTATATTTGTTGTGTAATTTTTCAAGCCATACGCTACAATTCTAGGCGTAGCAGCAGCCATAATTGCGCGGGAAAGTAGATGCAAGACGTCTGTTGTTATGTAACGCCTACAGGTACGGTTATTTTTTGTTGCTAAGTAGCAATTAGTTAACGGCAGAAAGAAAGGACATTTTCTTTTTAGTTACAAAAGTAGAATGTATAAAAGGAACAAAACTGCTAGCAGTTATCTCTAAATCACAATGCTTAAATGCCTATGTCCAATTTCGAGTCACACATGGTCGAGTTCCAGTCCTGCGACAGCGACTAGAATCCGAGTCTGATTTACAAAATACGCGGCTCGATTTGCCGGACTCGTGTGTTACAAGTCAGAGTTATGGCATGATTAGGATATTAGACTAAAGTCAATTATCCTGGATGAGATATATTCTTCTTTTTTGTATGACAATGCTAAACAACAGATAAAAAATGCAAAATCTAGAAAATTATAAGCCATTTTCTGTTCAGAGTTAATTACAAAACACTTAAATTTTCTAAATATGGGTAAGTGGAAAAAATAAAATATAGGATTGTTCATGCACTTAATGAATCTTGTAGCCAAGGTTGGTCTTGAAATCTCCGTACACCTCTCACACTAACATACTTTCGAGGAAGAATCGGCTCTCAGTTTCCATCCAGAACCAAGACTGTAACAAAGAGCACACACTATTCTGGAGAAAAGAATAGTAAGGTAAGAAAGTATAATATGAATGGTAAATAAAACAAAGTACTTACTTTTTATGCTGATACATTTCCCATAATCTGAGTACTAACGTATAGAGAGCCAATAATTTTGCATCTAATTCCTCACCCTTAGTGGTTGAAATTGATAAAAAAAAAGGTAAACACACATTAATCGTATCAGCTATATTTGGAACTCTTTAGTAAATACACATATCTGTATAATTCAATAATAGAAAGAACAGAAGCGTCGCTAGGCACCGGCACACGGAGCCTGTACCCCGATTCTATTTGACAGTGCCCCGAATCCCGAATCTATTCCGGATAGAAAACCATGATCGATATCATACTGTTATGACCCCGAATCTTATAAGCACCTAGCGGCGCCTCTGAGAAATAAGATAAAAGAGGAAAGTAAAATAATACTT